TTTTAAACCCCCCCTTTTTTCCCTCCCCAAGGCCATTGGAAATGCCAAAACCACCCGAAACGACAACAGCAGCCGTTTCGGAAAATACATTCAGATCGGCTTCAACAAGCGATATTACATCATCGGAGCCAACATGAGGACTTACCTACTGGAGAAGTCGAGAGTGGTCTTTCAGGTTCGTGTTATGACTTATGTAGATTAAGAAAAGGGTTTATGACCAGGCCCCTGAGTAATATGTTGACAATTGCAGCAATTACAGCTTTTGGACATTGATTTGATGACATGGACCCCTCGCCTTGTCCTTTGTGAGTTTCAAGCCCCCTTTCTCCCTGATCTGCTCTTGCAGGACAAACCTACAGTACATTTTGAAACAGAACACCACCCAGCTCAGTGCAGTCCCAGCCAGTCTTCTTACCTTTGACAGCCCTCTCCACTGGCAGCTGAAAGAAATTATCCATCACTGCTCTGAAAAGAAAATGCGACCACACCTGTACTTTTTGTGCCCTTTGTTCCCAGTTTTCTGTCTTGTCAGCCTGAGAGAAGTGACACACAGAGCTAGTCTGCACTGGCCCGTGAAAATCAGTATCATCTATTGCATTTTCTTGTTTCTAGATTCCTGAGTCACTTTTGATTTTCATGACTCTTCACTCCTAAGAAAAGCTTTTTATGAGCTGCCTTACTGATGCCTCATATAAACTGGTCTGGCATTGTTCTCCCATCAAAGCAGCCCTGCCTACCTGTCTGTCTCTATATACATCAGCATTCATTTCCTGTCAGACAGATCATGTAGAGTCATTCTAAAATGAGTGTTTGTAATAGCTGCCAAAATAGATCAATTTACACCACAAAATGAATTCCACTTTTTAAAATAAGATTCTTTTTCATTCCAAAGGATCAAATAGCTTTTCAGATCTTGGAAGGGGCTCACTTTGTCTCCTGCAGTAGCGCAGAATTCCAGTTCTGTGCTTTTGTTTTTCCCTGGACCTTCGGGTCAGGTTACTGTCATAGAGTGAGTTTCATGCCTGGACGACACTTTTAAAAAAACGTTTGATTTTAGGAACAGCACCAGAGTCCCAGCTCCAAGACAGGAGAAACATGGGAGAATGAACCCACTGTTTATGACAAAGGTTTGCTGAATTTAAAGCCAGTGCTCAGTTTACAATGAGTCGTCACAGTTAAATGAATTGTACCAGTGGTGCGTGCACAGTGTGTGTTGCATGTATATTTGAAAATAACTGTTAGGTGAGCATATGAAATGAAATGTTGTGTCCTGAAAAAGGTTTAGAGAAAAAACTTGTCAAGTGAGTTTTTCCATAAATGTGTTCCAGTGATTACAAATCATTTTGTTGTCTGCATTCATGCACGGTACACTTTACACAAAGTGACAGTGACTCAGTGTTTGTGAAGTGGACCTTAACGAGCAGGGAAAAGCAGTGTAACAGCTGTTCCAAAGAAGGAAGATGAAGAAAATGCTTTGTAACGTGTCATTGTCTGATTGTGTACTCGTGGGGGTGGCCGTTTTGTGTCTTTGTGGGACCTGGTGATTGTCTCATTTCACCCTGGTGCCAAACTGCAGTGAAAAGTCTCACCTGTTTGGTGGTTTAAAAGGCTGTGCAGGTGAAGTGGATTGTTGTGCCACAGAGGTAAATGGAGAAGCTACCTGCACTTTCAGGTTGTTATTGCTGGGTTTTCCAGATTGCCATTCTCAGTTTAAAAATTAATGCCAAACTCTTGATTTCTCTTTAACACCAGTTCTGCTTTAGTTATTTATCCTGATGTCACCTAGGCAAACTATTGCTCAACCTGTCTGATTCTAGCTCAATCTCACCCTGTCTGATTATGAGCACCTGCAGGACTATGTCACTTTGGTCCTGAGCTGACTCAGTGAAGATGTCATGGATGGTTGAAAGGTTTTCAGACCTGGACTGTTTAAAACATGAGAAAGACTGAAGCCTTCAGAAATGTTCTACATGGTTGTGGGATAGGCCATCATCTTCAAACTGAAAGGGTTTTTGCACATTGGAAACTTTGGGAACATGTCAAAACCAGATGCCTAGAGAGGCTCAGATATGGATCGCGGAAATTCTCAGTTGACACCCCAGGTAGGGTTAGGGTTAGAATTCACTCACTACTTAGACAATTTTTAAGCTCAGTGCTGGATTTTGGGGCCCAAGTCAGGTTTAGGATGGCTGGTTTTGTAGTCCTATCTGACATTTTTATTTTCAGAAACTCTCGGGCCTGGGTGGCGCGGTGCACCGGGTGTTAGTTGTATCCCGAAAATGAGTCGGCGGTTTCAAAAGTTGTCATCAGGCTTTATTAAATCTCGTTTTATTGCAAGAGCTTTGATCAACGGTCTTGATTGTTTCCCACTCATACAGTACCTTTAGGTTTTTTGAAAATGTCAAAATCCAATGCCTAGAGAAGCTCAGATATAGATCGCAGAAATGCTCAGTTGACACCCCAGGTAGGGTAAGGTTTAGAATTCACACACTACTTAGACAATTTTTTAGCTCAGCACTGGATTTGGGGGCCCAAGTCAGGTTTAGGACGGGTGGTTTTGTAGTTCTATCTGAAAATTATTTTTTCAGAAGCTGTCTGGGGTCTGGGTGTCATGGTGTACCGCGTGTATCCCGAAAGTGAGTCGGTGGGATCAAAAGTTGTCATCAAGCATTATTGAATCTTATTTAATTGCAAGAGCTTTGATAAGTTGTCTTGATTGTTTCCCACTCATACAGTACCTTTAGGTTTTTTGAAAATGTCAAAATCCAATGCCTAGAGAAGCTCAGATATAGATCGCAGAAATGCTCAGTTGACACCCCAGGTAGGGTTAGGGTTAGAATTCACACACTACTTAGACAATTTTTAAGCTCAGCGCTGGATTTTGGGGCCCAAGTCAGGTTTAGGACGGGTGGTTTTGTAGTCCTATCTGAATTTTTTTTTTTCATAAACTCTGGGGCCTGGGTGTCATGGTGCACCGCATGGTAGTTGTATCCCGAATCTGAGTTAGTGGTATCAAAAGTTGTCATCAAGCATTATTGAAACTCATTGCAAGAGCTTTGATCAACGGTCTTGATTGTTTCCCACTCATACCTTTAGGTTTTGGGAATATGTCAATATCCAATTCCCAGAGATTTTCAGATATAGATCGCTGAAATGCTCAGTTGACACCCCAGGTAGTGTTAGGGTTAGCATTCACGCACTACTTAGACAGTTATATTTCTAAATAATGTATTTGTTGCTCATTGCTCATTTCTGACTGTTTGTTTATGCCTGATAATAGTAGAAAACTGAATCTAAAGCCTAATCAAATGTTCTTATATTAACGGAGTTTCTTGTTTTCTTCAAGTGTCACTGCTATCAACTTTGCTAATGTTTTTAAAATGAACTTGCATGCTGAATATCAGTGCTAATCTTTTTGTAACAATTACAGTCAACACATAATAAACTTTATCAGTCTGCTGTTAGGGTAGCAGATTTAAGTTCATGTGGAAACTTTGGACAGTTCACATGGTCCTGAGCTCCGTCATCAGCGTAATAATGTTTGATTATATTTCAGGCTGAAGATGAGAGAAACTATCACATATTTTATCAGCTGTGCGCCTCTGCTAGCCTGCCCGAGTTTAAGGATCTCTCATTGAGTAAGTGCCTTTGTCTGTCTGTTTTTTGAAGGAGCAATGATCAGCTGTATCAGGGTGAGAGATGCTGCTCTCTTGGAACAAACCCCCTGGTTTTGATGGTGACTTGTCTTTGACAAAGCAGCTTTCTCACGAGATGTGAATCTATCTCTAGGAAAATATATTCTAAATTTCTGAAGAGAGGAGTATTTAGCCCATTCATTGTTTTTATATAATTGCAATAAAAAGTACATACAGGGAACAATTTAGAGACACCAATTATCCTGGACAGTATGTCTTTGGACTATTGGTGTAAATCAGGACACCAAACCAGAGAGTGCCCCCATGGATCCAAAGAGAAAATGTAAACCTTGCACAAAACAGAACTGAACCCCACAAGGGCAGATGTTTCTGTGCTGGACTTGTAATTCTCTAATGACAACTGAAATCACTTTGTTTACAGAACAGGTAACAGTCTGCAGTTTCTTGTGCTGGAAGTAGGCTGACGTACAGGTTGTTACACAGGGGGCTGGACAGATCTGACAATTCTGACCCTCCCTCTGCGCTGGGCTGTACGGGTGGGTGACACAGTCTCTCACTCGCTCTTTCCTCCAGCCTCGGCAGAGGACTTCTTCTACACCTCGCAGGGCGAGAACATCTTCATTGATGGGGTGAACGACGCCAAGGACTTCGAGAAGACCAGGAAAGCCTTCACGCTGCTCGGTGAGTGACCCTGGGGTGACCACTCGGTCACTCTGTGTGGTCAGGAAGTCAGGGGCTCCAGACACCACTGGAATCAGACATGTTTACCTGTAATCGTTGTTGGTAGTCGGTGAACTATTATATTAATGATCACCATTAATATACTGTAAATGAAAAAACATTAAGGCAGATGATAGAATGTTAGAAACTTCCTACAGCTTTCCCCTTTCTCGATAGGATTATGTATGGAAATGTTGAATGTATGTTTTTTTGTCAATTAAAAACTCTACAGCTAGAGTGTGTTTTTGTTGGTGTGTGCAGCGCAATCTG